TGTGATGGAATGTGGTAATGAGAAATGTGAATTGAAATCTGGTGATTTTGGTATGTCACCAAAATGCTTGTTAACTAATTCTACAACATCTTCGTGCTTTGCTCCAACGGCAGCTACGACTATTCGCTCAGGACGATACCATATTGACATATAATCTCTTATAAGCTCAGGAGTAATTGTATTTAATCTTTCTTCCGGGCATAACATTGGATTTCCCAAAGTGTTGTTCTTGTAAGCAACCGTATGAAGCAATTCTGGCATAATCATTTCAGGTTTTTGCCAAATTTCCTGAATTTCATAAAGAGCTGTTTGTTGTTGTTCAGCAACTTCAGCTGGGTCGATAAGCGGATTGCGAATCACGTCAGCAAAAAGTGCTATAACCTTTGATAAATCTTGACTAAATATGGCAGATTGGTACATTATAGCTTCACGACCGCTGGCACACATAACATTACCACCTAACGACTCTAAAATAGCTTGAGTTTGTTCACTTGTGTGAGTCGTTGTACCCTAATAATGTAACGAAAATGAAAGTCAATAACTGATGTATTAATTGATAAAATGTAAAGGATTGATCATACGCGACATTATATACCTTAAATGCCATTCGATCTAAAATGTGGCTTACTCCGGTGGTCTGAGGTGTTTCATACCTTGAACCTGCGTCCACATACACACCTACAGCCGAAAAGTGACCAGGTGTATTTTCAGTAGCGACGCGTATCCCGTTGGATAAGGACGATACGAGACTTCCTACCGAAGGTATTTTAGTGTGCCGAAACACTTTCGATAAACTCATCGTACAATGTGAAAATCATACGTTTAACTTAGTTATTCGAGGTTTAAACCTTATCTTCCCGGTTTTAAAGGAATTATAATGCTAACACACAATTCACGTGATTTAAATTTGAAGAAATTCGTCCATGTGATTGGTTAATTTACGTAGATCCAAGCATGAAAATTGACCAATCAAATCAATTAAATTTTTTTTTCAATACGCGCGTTAGATTATCGATTAGAACATTGGTCACTATTATGTAGATTGAAAATCGATTATCGATCAAATGTTCTAAACTAATCGGGTGTTCGAGTATTTGCAAAAAAAGTAATAAATCAAAATTATATATTTATTATTTAAAATATTAACTTTTTTCCCGGGTGATATCACCTGGGTAATATCACCCGGGTGATTTCACTCAGGTGAAATCATCTAGATAATTTCACCCAATAAATAATTTTATTAAACAAAACCAATTATTTAAAATAATGCAGTTATAATAAAATTTAAAACTAGTTTTTAACTATTTTTAACCAGGAGTGATTTAACTATCCCTATTAAAATTTAGGGTTAAGGTATGGTTTTAGGATTTTTTTTTTTTATATATATAATATAATACTGTATGTATTAGATATAAGATTTTAATTTTAGTTTTTGTAAGGTTTTCATGGGTTCTGAATATTTTTACTTAGAATACCTAATCCAGTTTATTTAGTGTGTTTTTAAGATATAGCACCTCTAGTGATTTAACTAAAAGAGCAAGTTAGCAATAGTCTTAAAACTATCTCTAAAAATAAATCCTACTAGAATATTACTTTATATACTCTAAATTCTAAACTAATACTAAAACTAACCTAAAATTTTTAATCTAGCAAATAAAGCAAGCTAATTGGTAAAACTATGAAAAATATATTAATTAGATTTAAAAACTATATATAACTCAAAGTTTTATTTATAAAGCTATTTATATACTAACAAAACTTTCTTGCTTTATTTCAATTATAGCTCTAACTCTTAAAAAATATTGCATATATTTAATTGTTTTAATTGTCTAATTAGTATATTTTTTATAATCCTATTAGATAGTTGATAAAAGTTGTTTTAGAATTAAAGATTGCACAAGTTTTATAAGTAAATTGCTTTTTATATTTTTTTGTTACTATATAAGTATTATTTTTGAATTTTTTTTTTTTTTTTTTAACTTTTTGACAGTTTTATTAGTATCTTTATATATTTACTAGATAGTTAGTTTTATATATGATATTTCATATGTTATTTATCTAAATTATTAGATTTGGCATTATTTGATTATTTTAAGAGTATCTAGATACAACCTGTTACACTGCACTATGCATAGAACAGAAGATATTGTTAGCTCTGCCAAGAGCCAAACTTGAATTTTTTTTTATCTAAATCTTGGTAGAAAGGTTCTAGCAAGCTTGTTTCTCTATAAAATAAAACAAAGAAGAACAAACACTGGTTGAAATCAAAAATATTATCCAAATATCTTCAACTAATCGGCCTAGAAGATAGCCTGGTGATAGCCGGGCGATAGGCAG